CTTTGACCAGTATCTGGCCACTTGGAGTGCTTCTGGTGTCGCCGCGAGAAGGTCCTCCATTGTGCATGTGGCAGGGCTCAGGTTGCATTGCAGCAGGTGGTCAGTGGTCTGCTCTTCTCCACACTCGCATGTCGTGGATTCCACTTTGTGGCCCCATTTCTTGAGGTTGGCTCTGCATCTCGTGGTGCCAGAGCGCAGTCTGTTCAGCGCCTTCCAAGTCACCCAGTCCTCTGTGTGCCCAGGGGGAGTCTCTCATTTGGTATCAGCCATTGGTTGAGGTTCTGGGTTTGAGCCTGCCACTTTTGGACTCTCGCTTGCTGAGGTGTTCCAGCGAGTGTCTCTGTAGATCTTAGAAAACTATTTCTAGATTTAAGTCGTTGACGTGCTGGCTGATACCCAAACAAGGGATGAGCTGGAGATGTCTCTGCCTTGGTCCTTTCACTATTGGCTGCTACTTCCCGGCGGATGTCAGGTAGTGCAATACCGGCTAAGCAGTGTAATTTCTCCAGTGGTGTAGGGCGCAGACACCCCGTGATAATGCGGCATGTCTCATTAAGAGCCACATCCACTGTTTTAGTGTGGTGAGATGTGTTCCACACTGGGCATGCGTACTCAGCAGCAGAGTAGCATAGCACAAGGGCAGATGTCTTCACTGTGTCTGGTTGTGATCCCCAGGTTGTGCCAGTCAGCTTTCGTATGATATTATTTCTAGCACCCACTTTTTGCTTGATGTTCAGGCAGTGCTTCTTGTAGGTCAGAGCACGGTCCAGAGTGACTCCCAGGTATTTGGGTGTGCTGCAATGCTCCAGTGGGATTCCTTCCCAGGTAATCCTCAGAGCTCGGGATGCTTGTCTGTTCTTGAGATGAAAGGCACATGTCTGTGATTTAGATCAGCTGGTTTTCCCTGTAATAGGCAGTAAGAGCACCTAGAGCTTCGGAAAGCTTCTGTTCTACCATCTCAAAGCTCCCTGCTTGAGCAGTAATGGCACGATCATCAGCATAGATGAAACTCTCTGTCCCTTCTGGCAGTGGCTGGTCATTTGTGTAGATGTTGAACATGGATGGAGCAAGCACGCTCCCCTGAGGCAGGCCGTTCTTCTGTTTCCGCCATCTGCTTCTCTGGCCCTGGAACTCAACAAAAAAGCTCCTGTTTTGTAGCAGGTTTCCTATGAGGCGGGTGAGGTGGTCGTCCTTTGTGATATTATACATTTTTCTCAGGAGGAGGCGGTGGTTCACAGTATCATAGGCTGCTGACAGGTCTTTGAAGACAGCTCCTGTGATCTGCTGCCTTTCAAAGCCATCTTCTATGTGCTGAGTCAGGTTCAGCACTTGCGATGTGCAGCTTTTGCCTTTTCTGAAGCCAGCTTGCTGTGGGATCAGATAGGGGTCTATATTTTCCATAATTCTATGCAAAATAAGTCTCTCCAGAACTTTGTAGAGGTGGCACAACAGGGAGATTGGTCTGTCGCTTTTTGAGTCATTACGGTCTTTGCCTGGCTTCAGGATGGCGACAACTCTTGCTTTCTTCCAGATTTTTGGTATTCTGCCGCAACTACCTATAAATTGAACTGGCGTTTATTCCAAAATTGGGAAAGGAAAAAAATACCAGAAAAACAGTTTTTCATAATATACAACTCAAGTATCTAAGACAGTCACTCTATCTTAAGACATAATGCACATATATTAGACACACAACTGCTATTGTTATTTTACAAATCTCACACCCAGTATTCGTTACCCGGCTTGAGGCAGGGTACAACAAAGTCCAAACATAAGAACACGAAATCCATAGATAAAAAGATATCATTATAAAAATACTCACCAGACACAGGGTTTGTCATTAGCCTTCTCTGCCTCGCCGAACTCCAGACCTCAGGATTCCATTCCAGGGAGCCATGGCAGTTCAGGTGTCATGAATCTGAATTTATTCCACAGTGTAGAATGGATGAGATTGAGGTGACCAATGTAGAGGCTGGGACATGTCGAATGATGCTGTCTTGACCTCAAGGCACTCCTGTGTTTCCTTCTGCAGCAACACGCGGCCAACGCCACCCAGGCGGAAATGCTGACCCACTACATCACCAGCTTCACCCAGGGCTCCATTGTGGCCCACAAGGAGGGCTCCCGCTGCTGGATCCAAGACAAGGGCCCCATCGTGGAGAGGTGAGAATATCAGGCACTTCCCAGAGAAAGTAGTAGACACACAGACTGTATAGCTACATTGGCTACACAAACAAAGAGGATATTCCCATTTTATTGAAAGTTCACACACACATATATACATTCATTCTCCATGCATACATTGCCATCCCTTCTTTCTGCTCCTGCAGAAGTGACCCACATGTGGGCCAGATTGCATTCCTCACAAATCTGTTCTAGAAACAACATCATACAAAAGCTGACTGGCACAACCTGGGGATCACAACCAGACACAGTGAAGACATCTGCCCTTGCGCTATGCTACTCTGCTGCTGAGTATGCATGCCCAGTGTGGAACACATCTCACCACACTAAAACAGTGGATGTGGCTCTTAATGAGACATGCGCATTATCACAGGGTGTCTGCGCCCTACACCACTGGAGAAATTACACTGCTTAGCTGGTATTGCACCACCTGACATCCGCCGGGAAGTAGCAGCCAATAGTGACCAAGGCAGAGACATCTCCAGCTCATCCCTGTTTGGGTATCAGCCAGCACGTCAACAACTTAAATCTAGAAATAGTTTTCTAAGATCTACAGAGACACTCGCTGGAACACCTCAGCAAGCGAGAGTCCAAAAGTGGCAGGCTCAAACCCAGAACCTCAATCCGTGGGTGATACCAGATGAGAGACTCCCCCCTGGGCACACAGAAGACTGGGCGACTTGGAAGGCGCTGAACAGACTGCGCTCTGGCACCACGAGATGCAGAGCCAACCTTCAGAAATGGGGCTACAAAGTGGAGTCCACGACATGTGAGTGTGGAGAAGAGCAAACCACTGACCACCTGCTGCAATGCAACCTGAGCCCTTGCACAATGGAGGACCTTCTTGCAGCAACACCAGAGGCACTCCAAGTGGCCAGATACTGGTCAAAGGGCATTTAATCAACTACCAAGTTTGCAAAATCTGTGTTTTTTAAATCTGTTTGTTTGTTTTTTCTTTTAATCTGTGTGTTTGTTTTGTTCTGTTAGAATTGTAACACAATGGTATGGTTGCTGATGACACGATAAATAAAATGTTCATTTTACCTATACACCACCTTCCTCCAATCTTTGGAGAAAGTGGCAGGTGTACAGACCCTGCATTCCTGCAGTTTGCCACACTTTTGGACTGTAAGAAGGTCTCTTACTTTGCATTTTTCTGCTGTTGTTGTTTCAAATGGATTAACTTGTTATCTAGCTCAAATATTCTGATTCTATCATTTCCCAACATGTTGTTCGTTCGTTCAGTCGTTTCCGACTCTTTGTGACCTCATGGACCAGCCCACACCAGAGCTCCCTGTCGGCCGTCACCACCCCCAGCCATGGATTCAGATTGCAGGAAAGGAGATGCTGCCTAAACATTTGGAAGATTTTCCTGGGAGCCCCCGTTGGCGCAGTGGGTTAAAGCACTGAGCTGCTGAGCTTGTTGATCGAAAGGTCGCAGGTTCGATTCCGGGGAGCGGCATGAGCTTCCGCTGTCAGCCCTAGCTTCTGCCAACCTAGCAGTTCGAAAACATGCAAATGTGAGTAGATCAATAGGTACCGCTCCGGCGGGAAGGTAACGGTGCTCCATGCAGTCATGTTCCGCCATATGCTTCTCTGGCCCTGGAACTCAACAAAAAAGCTCCTGTTTTGTAGCAGGTTTCCTATGAGGCGGGTGAGGTGGTCGTCCTTTGTGATATTATACATTTTTCTCAGGAGGAGGCGGTGGTTCACAGTATCATAGGCTGCTGACAGGTCTCTGAAGACAGCTCCTGTGATCATCTGCCTTTCAAAGCCATCTTCTATGTGCAGGGTCAGGTTCAGCACTTGCGATGTGCAGCTTTTGCCTTTAAAACAATACAATAATTAAAATGAAGAGCAATTTTAACAAATATAAACTTATTCATATTTCAATGGGAACTGTGGGCCTGCTTTTGGCTGATGAAATAGGATTGTTGTTGTGTGCTTTCAAGTTGTTTTCAGACTTAGGTTGACCCTCAGTGAGGGCCAGGTAAATGACCTTGGAGGCCCGTATCTGGCCTGCGGGCCGTAGTTTGAGGATCTCTGGTATAGGATTTTGTAGGTTAAAACCAGCACTTTGAATTGTGCTTGGAAGCTAATTGGCAGCCAGTGGAGCTGGCGTAACAAAGGAGTTGTGCGCTCCCTGTACCCTGCTCCCATTCGTAATCTGGCTGCCGAACGTTGGACTAATTGCAGCTTCCGGGCAGTCTTCAGAGGCAACCCCACGTAGAGAGCGTTGCTGTAGTCAATACAGGATGTTACCAGAGCGTGGACCATCGTGACCAAGTCAGACTTCCAAAGGTACAGGCTAATTTAAATTAATTTAAATAACTAATTTAAATTAGTTAAATTAGCCTCCCCACACATAGGTGGAACCTAATTTTCCTACTTGACAGATGCAACTGTCTTTTGGATTGCAAAGGTCGACAACAAGCTACACAATTGGTCGGAAGCTCACTCCGACCTGGGCCGGCTTCAAACTCATGGTCAGAAGTGATCTTAATGCAGCTGACACTCAGACAACTGCGCCACAGTCCTGGTGCTAGGCACAGTTACCCATGCTACCAGCCAAATGTCTTCAGAATCATTCTTCCTGGCATATAACTCCACCAATCAATTAATAGGAGTCTCCTTCCCGAGGTTTTTAAGCAGAGCTGGATGGCCATCTGTTGGGAGGGATTTCATTGTGCCTTACTGCAAGGTAGTGATTTCGATTAAGCTGCTCTTTCAGTTCTATGATGAGGGTGGAAACAGCAGTCTGATAACAATGATGGATTACGTTGAAAGTACACAAAAGAAAGCTGCATTAAATGGTCAGTGTAGATGAGGCCCAAGTGTATTCACATTGGATCTGTACCACTAAGCATTGAATGACGGCCAAAGGCCAATGAAAAATCCCTCACCTTGCCTTTTGTTCTCTCTTTTTTGGATATTCACAGTTATATCGGGTTCATTGAAAGCTACCGAGATCCCTACGGCTCCCGGGGGGAATTTGAAGGTACTGTTACCATTATTATTATTATTATTATCATTATCATTATTATTATTATTATTATTATTATTATTATTATTATTACTACTACTACTAGCCATCCCCTGCCTTGTCTCTTTCCTTCCTTCCCTTCCTCCCGCTTTCTCTCTTCGTTCCTTCTCTCCTTTCTTCCCTCCTTCACTTTGTTATTTCATTCTCTTCCTCCTTCTCTCCTTATTCCTTCCTTCCTTCTCTACCCTACATTCTTTCCTTTCTCTCCTTCCCCCTTCTTTCCCTTCTTCTTTCCTCCTTTCTCTCCCTCCTTCTCTCCTTCCTTCCTTCTTGACCCTTTCTTTCCTTCTTTATCTCCTCTCCTCTCCTTCCTTCCTTCTCTATCTTTCTTTATTTCCTCCTTTCTCTCCTTCCCTCCTTCTTTCCCTTCCTTCTTCTCTCTCTCCTTCTCTCCTTCCTTCCTTCTCTACCCTTCTTTCCTTCTTTCTCTCCTTCCCTCCCTCCCTCCTTCTTCCTTCCTTCCTTCCTTCTACCCTCTTTTTTCCTTTCCTCCTTCCTTCCTTCTTTCCCTCCTTCTCTCCTTCCATCCTTCTCTACCCTTTCTTTCCTTCTTTATCTCCTTCCTTCTCTACCCTATGTTCTTTCTTTTCTCTCCTTCCCTCCTTCTTTCCCTTCTTCTTTCCTCCTTTCTCTCCCTCCTTCTCTCCTTCCGTCCTTCTCTACCCTTTCTTTCCTTCTTTATCTCCTTCCTTCCTTCTCTACCTTATGTTCTTTCCTTTCTCTCCTTCCCTTCTCTACCCTTTCTTTCCTTCTTTATCTCCTTCCTTCCTTCTCTACCGTTCTTTCCTTTCTCTCCTTCCCTCCTTCTTTCCTTTCTTCTTTTCTCCTTTCTCTCCTTCCTTCTCTCCTTCCGTCCTTCTCTACCCTTTCTTTCCTTCTTTATTTCCTTCCCTCCTTCTTTCCCTCCTTCTAATATAAGATAAGACATGGGATTTTTGGGGCACTTTTATTATTTTCTTGTGTTGTTTTAGTTTATTCTATTTCAAAACTATATTACATATGATATATTTTAGTTTACTATATCTTTAAGTAGGAGGTTGTTCTCGTGTGGTTGCAAATCACTTCTGGGTCTCCGTTCCCAGGGTTCGTGGCCATTGTGAACAAGGCCATGAGTGCCAAGTTTGCCCGCTTGGTGTCCGCGGCCGAGCGCCTGCTGGAGGAGCTGCCTTGGCCCCGCGCCTTCGAGAAGGATGCTTTCCTCAAGCCGGACTTCACTTCCCTTGACGTCCTCACCTTCTCCGGCAGCGGCATTCCGGCCGGCATCAACATCCCAAATTGTAAGGCTCTGGTTATAGCCGTTGAAGCTAGGAGTCAGAATATGGCAGAGCTGGATGGCCATCTGTTGGGAAGGATTTGATTGTGGAATCATAAGTAAAAATCATAGAACCCTAGAGTCAGAATATGGCAGAGCTGGATGGCCATCTGTTGGGAGGGATTTGATTGTGGAATCATAAGTAAAAAGCATAGAACCCTAGAGTCAGAATATGGCAGGGCTGGATGGCCATCTGTTGGGAGGGATTTGATTGTGGAATCATAAGTAAAAAGCATAGAACCCTAGAGTCAGAATATGGCAGAGCTGGATGGCCATCTGTTGGGAGGGATTTGATTGTGGAATCATAAGTAAAAAGCATAGAACCCTAGAGTCAGAATATGGCAGAGCTGGATGGCCATCTGTTGGGAGGGATTTGATTGTGGAATCATAAGTAAAAAGCATAGAACCCTAGAGTCAGAATATGGCAGAGCTGGATGGCCATCTGTTGGGAGGGATTTGATTGTGGAATCATAAGTAAAAAGCATAGAACCCTAGAGTCAGAATATGGCAGAGCTGGATGGCCATCTGTTGGGAGGGATTTGATTGTGGAATCATAAGTAAAAAGCATAGAACCCTAGAGTCAGAATATGGCAGGGCTGGATGGCCATCTGTTGGGAGGGATTTGATTGTGGAATCATAAGTAAAAAGCATAGAACCCTAGAGTCAGAATATGGCAGAGCTGGATGGCCATCTGTTGGGAGGGATTTGATTGTGGAATCATAAGTAAAAAGCATAGAACCCTAGAGTCAGAATATGGCAGAGCTGGGTGGCCATCTGTTGGGAGGGATTTGATTGTAGAATCATAAGTAAAAATCATAGAACCCTAGAGTCGGAATATGGCAGAGCTGGATGGCCATCTGTTGGGAGGGATTTGATTGTGGAATCATAAGTAAAAATCATAGAACCCTAGAGTCAGAATATGGCAGACCTGGATGGCCATCTGTTGGGAGGGATTTGATTATGGAATCATAAGTAAAAATCATAGAACCCTAGAGTCGGAATATGGCAGAGCTGGATGGCCTTCTTTTGGGAGGGATTTGATTGTGGAATCATAAGTAAAAAGCATAGAACCCTAGAGTCAGAATATGGCAGAGCTGGATGGCCATCTGTTGGGAGGGATTTGATTGTGGAATCATAAGTAAAAATCATAGAACCCTAGAGTCAGAATATGGCAGAGCTGGATGGCCATCTGTTGGGAGGGATTTGATTGTGGAATCATAAGTAAAAATCATAGAACCCTAGAGTCAGAATATGGCAGAGCTGGATGGCCATCTGTTGGGAGGGATTTGATTGTGGAATCATAAGTAAAAAGCATAGAACCCTAGAGTCAGAATATGGCAGAGCTGGATGGCCATCTTTTGGGAGGGATTTGATTGTGGAATCATAAGTAAAAAGCATAGAACCCTAGAGTCAGAATATGGCAGAGCTGGATGGCCATCTGTTGGGAGGGATTTGATTGTGGAATCATAAGTAAAAAGCATAGAACCCTAGAGTCAGAATATGGCAGAGCTGGATGGCCATCTGTTGGGAGGGATTTGATTGTGGAATCATAAGTAAAAAGCATAGAACCCTAGAGTCAGAATATGGCAGAGCTGGATGGCCATCTGTTGGGAGGGATTTGATTGTGGAATCATAAGTAAAAAGCATAGAACCCTAGAGTCAGAATATGGCAGAGCTGGATGGCCTTCTTTTGGGAGGGATTTGATTGTGGAATCATAAGTAAAAAGCATAGAACCCTAGAGTCAGAATATGGCAGGGCTGGATGGCCATCTGTTGGGAGGGATTTGATTGTGGAATCATAAGTAAAAAGCATAGAACCCTAGAGTCAGAATATGGCAGAGCTGGATGGCCATCTGTTGGGAGGGATTTGATTGTGGAATCATAAGTAAAAAGCATAGAACCCTAGAGTCAGAATATGGCAGAGCTGGATGGCCATCTGTTGGGAGGGATTTGATTGTGGAATCATAAGTAAAAAGCATAGAACCCTAGAGTCAGAATATGGCAGGGCTGGATGGCCATCTGTTGGGAGGGATTTGATTGTGGAATCATAAGTAAAAAGCATAGAACCCTAGAGTCAGAATATGGCAGAGCTGGATGGCCATCTGTTGGGATGATGGGAGTGGTTGTCATAACCCGTTGATGGTCTATGATGTGGCCTCCTTCTTCTCCGTAACAGATGACGACATCCGTCAAACGGACGGCTTCAAGAATGTCTCCCTGGGAAACGTCTTGTCCGTGGCTTATTCCACGAAGAAGGAGAAGCTGACCTTCCTTGCCGAAGAGGACAAAGTGGGTGCATTTTTCAATTGCAATCCATGTTTACTCATTTTATATTGTGTTGTTTTATGCCATATGTCATATTCTGCTCTCTGTACTTCCCAATTCGTCCCGTAATAACTTTGTGCAAGATTCATAGAATAGAGTTGGAAGAGGCCACATGGGCAAGAAAAGGAAGGATACTATTATTATTATTATTATTATTATTTTATTGCTTGAGATAATCCCCCAAATAATAACAATAACAACAAAAACAATTATTATTATTATGTTTTCAGTGTTTTTATGGCTTGAGAGATCCTCCCTAAATAATAATACTAATAACTATATTATTATTTAGGGAGGATCTCTCAAGCCATTATTATTATTATTATTATTATTATTATTATTATTATTATTATTATTATTTTATATTATGTTATTATATTCGCCCTAAGCCTAATATAGTTTTATTATTATTAGGTAGGATCTCTCAAGCCATAAAAACACTGAAAAAAAAAAATAATTGTTTTTGTTGTTATTTTTATTATTTGTAGGATTATCTCTAGAAATAATAATAATAATAATAATAATAATAATAATAATAATAATAATGGCTTGAGAGATCATCCCTAAATAATAATATACTTATTATTATTATTTAGGGAGGATCTCTCAAGCTATAAAAACACGGAATAATAATAATAATAATAATAATAATAATAATAATAATAATGGCTTGAGAAATCCTCCCTAAATAATAATAATAACTATATTATTATCGGAGTCCCTGGTGGCGCAGTGAATTAATGCTCTGAGCTGCTAAAGTTGTTGACCGAAAGGTCGCAGGTTCGAATCCGGGGAACGGTGTGAGCTTCCGCTGTCAGCCCCAGCTTGTGTCAACCTAGCAGTTCGAAAACATGCAAATGTGAGTAGATCAAAAGGTACCGCTCAAAAGCCAGTCAAAGTGGTCCCAGTGGTGATTGGCACACTGGGTGCAGCACCTCAAGACCTTGGCCTGCACTTAAAAACAATCGGTGCTGACAAAATCACCATCTGCCAGCTGTAAAAGGCCACCTTACTGGGATCTGGACGCATTATTCGCCGATACATCACATCATTCCCCACATCTAAAGCACTCTGATCGTGAAACACCATCACAGGCTGAACTCTAACAGGCAGGAGGGGATTGGATGATCTTTGAGGGTCTCTTCCTACTTTAGGCTTCTATACAGGTTTGTATAGACAGCAAAGCCTAGAAAAGACGCTTATGCTGGGGAAAGTGGAAGGCAAAAGGAAGAGGGGCCGACCAAGGGCAAGATGGATGGATGGCATCCTTGAAGTGACTGGACTGACCTTGAAGGAGCTGGGGGTGGTGACGGCCGACAGGAAGCTCTGGCGTGGGCTGGTCCATGAGGTCATGAAGAGTCGGAGACGACTGAACGAATGAACAACAACAACAATCTTGTGTATCTAATAATAATTATTATTATTTATTTATTTTGAATAAAAATATTGCATAGATTAGTATAAAACTGATAAAAATAGAAGGAGCGCAGGTGGCTAAATATCTTTTGACCAAAAACGGGCAACAGCAACAGCATTGTCTGTAGCCTCCAACAATTCTTCCTTTGTACATGAGGCAGGGCATAGTGGACAAGCATACTAATGCGGATTTGTCTGTTCTGCTCCACAGTCACACAAGGTGTGGGATTCTTTTAGGTAGTGTCATTTTGCACTAATAATAATAATAATAATAATAATAATAATAATAATATAATCCGAGACCTCATGGGCCATCCCAAGACCTCATGGGCCATCCAGTCCAACCCCTTTCTGCCAAGAAGCAGGAATAATGCATTCAAATCACCCCTGACAGATGGCCATCCAGCCTCTGTTTAAAAGCCCCCAAAGAAGGAGCCTCCACCACACTCTGGGGCAGAGAGTTCCACTGCTGAATGGCTCTCACAGTCAGGAAGTTCTTCCTGATAGAGTCTTAAAAGAGACTCAAAGCAGCTCATAATGCTAAAAACACTATTTCTGGATAGGGAAGACACCATGAAAGCCCTCCCAACAGATGACCTTTCTCTCGTTTTGCAGGACCTGTACATCAAATGGAAAGGCCCCTCTTTCGAGGTGCAAGTGGGCCTCCACGAACTCCTGGGCCACGGCAGTGGGAAGCTGTTTGTCCAGGTAGGTGTGTCGTATCTCTTGTGTGGACTACCACACCCAGGAGCCTCAGCCAGCTTGGCCAATGGTGAGGAATTCTGGGAGCTGAAGTCCAAAACCATTTGGGGGATCCAAGTTTGGGGGACTTGCTCAGCCATGGCAATCCATTGGGTGCTCTTGGGCAAGTCACACTCTCTCAGCCTCAGAGGAAGCGGAAGGCAAACATTCCCCGAACAAACACTTCCAAGAATGTTGGAAATAGCAACCTTCTACAAGTCTCCTAGACTAGTTATAAATATGCTCTTTTGCTCCAGGATGACTCGGGGGCCTTCAACTTTGACCGGGAAGCAGTAATTAACCCAGAAACAGGGGAACAGGTAAGACACCCCCCCCCCCCCCCCCCCCCCGCCCTAGTTATTATGTGAAGTTGGAAAATGAACTTAAGCGTGGTCCAGATCCATCAATCCACAGAAGATCCCGTATGGTACAAACATATAGACATACTTTGAGATTATATCTTATCTCTCTCTCTCTCTATCTAATCTATCCATTTATCTATCTAATTATCTTGTGTATCTTTCTATCGTATCTATATTATCTTTCTATCTATACAGTCTATCTATCTATCTATCTATCTATCTATATTATCTATTTATCTATCTATATTACCTATTTATCTATATTATCTATCTATCTATCTATCTATCTATCTATCTAATCTTTCTATCTAACTAACTCTATTTACGTATCTGTATTACCTATCTATATTATCTATCTAGTCTGTCTGTCTATCTATCTATCTATCTATCTATCTATCTATCTATCTAATTTATCTTCTCTATCTATCTATCTATCTATCTATCTATCTATCTGTTCAATCTTTCTATATTATCTATCTAACCTATTATTCTATCTGTCTATATAATCTATATTATCTATTTTTCTATCTATATAGTCTATCTATGTATCTGTCTATATTATCCGTCCGGCTGTATCTATATTATCTATCTATCTATCTATCTATCTATCTATCTATATTTATCTATCTATATTATCTATCTTTCTATATTATCTATCTATCTATCTATCTATC